AGTCAGTTCCAACTCATAGCGATTCTGTATATAGGGTTTCCCAGACTGTAAATCTTTAGAGGAGTAGAAAGTCCCATCTTGCTCCTGAGCAGCTGCTGATAGATTCGAACTGCTGATCTTGTGGTTAGCAGCCAGCTCCTAGCAGAACACCTTGATTCTCACTTTACTCATCTCTACATTTACTGTAATAGTATCAATCGTGTAGAGTAGCAAGGGTTATAAGATAATGCTGTAATTGGCACAACTAAGTGCAAGTAAAGTTGGAAAGCATGGTGGCTCTGTAGGATTAGCACTGGACTATTGGCAGTTCAAGCCCAGGGCCACTCTGCAAGAGAATGACGAGGCTTTCTGTTTCTGCAAAGATTTAAAGCCTCAGAAATCCTATACAGGGTTGAGTTGGAACTGACATGACAGCACTTAACAGTAAAGTAACAAGTAGTAATATGTTACAGTTCTCTTGATAATGATAATTTGAGAAAAACAACTTATTTCCCATACAACTATACTGTGTTTATTTTCCAAAAGAGGCAGAGTAGCTTATTGTGAATCAGTTAACCTATCAGTTAGTTTTGCAAATTTTAGTCTAATAATTGATTGTTGTTACAAAAATAGTTGCCTTTGAAAATAATCTACTGATATTAAGGCACAAGTTTGCTGTTTTTTTCTTCCTTCAATGAAAAAGGATGAACATGAGTATTTACTCCATTTTTCACCTACATGGTTTTAGATATGCTATTTCTTTCATAACAAAATCAAATAGTAAGTTTGTTACTGTAATAGGGAAGGCAGAAATCCATGTTTCTTCTAAGGTCTACATTCAAAGTTATAAGTTTTGTTTACTTTAAAAATGTAGAGCATTACAAAAGGGTTGATATAGGAAACTCACTATCAGTAAACAAACCAAGAATTCTTGACCTGTGGACTAGAGACTCTCCAGGGTTGAATAACTGGCCATAGTTATTTAACCTCTAACCACATGTAAAAATGGAATCCTGGTATGGCACTCTAGAATAAACACTGTACTGCCAACTGCAAGGTCAGCAGTTCAAACCCATCAACCACTCCCTGGAAGTCCTATACAGAGTGGCTCTGAGGTAGAACCCACTTGATGGCATTTAGCAACAATAACATATATAAAAATAAGGAGCCATAAGGTCAGTAGTTCCAAACCAACCACCCACTCCATGGAAGAAAGAGGAGGCTTCCTGCTCCCGTAAAGACTTACAGCTTTTGAAATGCTGGTGTGATGCTGTAGGATAAGCAGTAGACTGCTAACTGCAAGGTCAGAAGTTCGTACACACCAACCGCTCCTCTTAAACACTATTGTTGCTATGACTAAGAACCAGCTTGATGGCTCTGAAACAACAATCATGTGTTAGAATACACTAGATGGCAAGTGAGCCCTGATGTGGCACTGTAGGGTAAATAGCACTGGACCTCAAGTTCGGCTTCAACTGCAAGGTTGGAAACAAATGCAATGGCATTTAACATATAAAAATGATTAAATAAATAAATAAAATATAGTGGTGATGCTGTATCATGGAGTCAATTCCAGCTCATGGCAACTCTGTATAGGATTTCTGAGGCTATAAATCTTTACAGGAGCAGAAAGCCTCATGCTTCTCTCATGGAATGGCTGGTAGTTTCGAACTGCTGACCTTGAGGTTAGCAACCCGATTTGTAAACACTATGTTACCAGAACCCCTTAAAATATAGTTGTTGTTGTTGTTAAGTGTCGTTGAGTCGATTCCTATCCACAGCAACCCTATATAGGGTTTCTGAGGAGCAGCAGGTGAGCTTGAACAACCAACCTTGCAGTTCAAAGTGACTTTTCCTTTGCAATCCAGCACATTAACCCATAGTACCATACTGGACTCCTAAACTATAGCTGTTGTTGTTGTTGTTAAGTGCTGTCAAGTTATTCCAACCCAAAGTGACCCTGTATAGGGTTTCCAAGGAGCAGCTAGTCAACTTGAACCACTGACCTTGCAGTTCTAATGACTTTGTAGTCTGATGCATTAGCCCAGAGCACCACACCAGGACTCCTATAATAGGGGGCTTGAAAAGTTTGTGGAACAATTCTGTGTTCTTTAACTCCATTTGTCCATGACCTTTTTCAAGCCCCTTAGAGGATTCCAGAATTCCCCAAAAGTTTAAGAACCACTGGATATAACAAACTTTGTGATAAAAACAGTAGATGAATAGCTCAGTAACAGTTAAGAAAAAAAATCAGTGTTTTCAAGATCTAACTTCGTTAATGGTACTGTTATAATGCACTTACAATGTCCTTCCCAATATTGATATACAGCCTCATAACTTCCTAAAAATTAACCAGTTAACCTTGTTTCATCTTTCCAATTTAATCTATAAGTATATATTGAACAATAAGCTAAACCTAAATAAATAAAACAATGTGTTGCCTTTGAGTCGATTTCAAATAAGGAAGCGCTAATATTTTTCAGATTAGAATTACTCCATAAGGTTTTCATGACTATGTAATTCACTCAGTTATTCCATATATTGCTATTCTGCTGAACAACTTAATTTTTATTTAAAAGCAAATTTCTGTATGGATTGTGATGATTGAATACCTTGAAGACAGGTTATACATAGCCAGTGATGTCCTAGTCACCAAAATGGTGTGGCCCTGTACCATAAGCACTTGACCACAAGGTTTGAACTGTCAGGTTGACCATTCAAACTCACTAGCCACTCCTCAGAAACCTTGTACAGGGTCATGATGGATTAGAACTGACTTGATGGCATGTAACAACAACAATCTGATGGAGGTCATCATTATTTAAGAGTATTAGATGGCTACAAAATTATTGGAAAGATCCCTAAATATGTGATTATATTTTAAATAACTAATATAGGAAATGCTGCTGTCAATGAGGACTATGCAAAAAAATCATAATAATAATAAAAGGCATCTTCAGCCACTTCTTATAAATTCTTCTTTATCAAGGAAGCTAGTTATCTGCTGACTATATAGTAAGTTGATCTCATACTTCCATTGTCAGTGAATGCTACTCCCCTGAAAAAATCCTGCAATTCTGGTGAGTAACATACATATTTAGGAGTGTTGTGGCTCTGTAACATAAGCACTGGACTGCTAACCACAAGGTTGGTGGTTTGCAGCCACCCTCTGCTCTGTGGTAGAAAGATGAGAGTTTCTGCTTCTTTAAAGATTTTCAGCCTCAGAAACCTTATACTGGGTTGCTATGAGTCAGAACCAGCTCAGCTGCACTTAACAACCTACGTATTCAGGTAGTGGCATCCTATGTCTCTTAACTGGGTCCTGACCTTATGAAAGAAATAGTAATAGTTTATGTCACTGAGCAGCCTTGGTTAAGAGAACGAATAACTCCTTGAAGCAAAGATAAAAAGCAGTATAAAAGCATAGTATCAATCCTTCAACAAAAATAGCAATAAATAAAGGGAGTCTTATTGGAAATCTCTTGTGTGTGATATTTACTGTTTAAAACAATACTCTTACACTTAAAGAAAATAACATCAGTAACAAAGCAAAGAAAGCAGGAAACTGACTGTCACAAGCACAAAATTTACAGCAAGGTGTTTCGGTTTCTGAATCCCAGCTCTGAAAATCACAACTTGTGGGACCTTGGACAATTGCCCAAAAATCCTTATTTGGATTTTTGAATAAAAAACTTATTCAACTGTGAAAGAGAGATAGTAGGACAACAATTTTACAAGAGTTGTGAAATTTAAACATTATAATGCACTGAAATGCTTATCATAGTAAGAGTTCAGTATTAAAAGA